TGAGGGGGTGGTGGGGGGGGGGGGGTGGGGGGGATGTATGGATGTTGAAACCAATCGAATATGCAGACAGATTGAAGGAAGATAAATTCTCGATTTACTGAGAACTGCACCAAATGAATCATATAAGATATAGTACCTCCTTTTAGAATTTCACAGATTCCATCTTGATCCTGACAAATCCACTTGATCAATTTAAATTAAAGTTCATAGCACCCACCCTCACACTAACATCCATATATCACAAGCTTAATGTTTTTCCAGCTCAACAAAACATGTTCAGCCAACATATTTGGGGTCAATTAGACATCCTCTCCTGTAGTTACTATGTAACCGTGTCATGCTCCCATCTAGTTTAAGAAATGTAAGACTACCCTTCTACTTTAACATGTGGCTATAGTATAGCAAAGCTTTTTATGGTATGATAATAAGGACCAAGACATTGGCGACTCCAGAGTTTTTCTTTACCCTTGTTTCTCAAGGAAGGGAAAATTGTAAGATCATGGAAAGTCACGACCTTAGACATATTATAGAATTGGATAAAATGCATTAATCAGTTTACAAAAATACAAGAAAAGACCTATAAAAGAAAGCCATTGGCGCAATTGGGTCAATTTGTTCTCAAAAAAACATACCATCCTATGCAACTCTTAGCAAATACAGGCTTCTGGAAATATACAAACTAAGAGGAGGATCATTTAGTTTCATTAAACTTCTGGGAATCTCATGTAGTTCTGCCATATCTCATCTTTAAAGACGAGCAAAAGTCAGATAGGACGTTGAACTTGACATAAGTCTACCACTTGAATTTAGAGGCAGTATCAGGTGTAATGGATGTCATCCATAGGGTTATGTTTCTACCGACCACATTACAAAGAACAAAGACATATCAGTAGGCAGTCCGCCAAAAAAAGGAATGCATGTGTCCTTTGTAGGTGCACATGATACTTATAATGCATCTCAATAAGCAGGCTTCCCACCACTATATTAAATAAATAAAAGGAAGCACATGTAGTCAAATTTGCACAAGTACAATGTGCTAGTTATTGGCGAAGTGACACCCACAATTTGTGAATACGCATAGAAGACATTTGTTGTATTTTAATATTACAAGATAAAATTGTAAAAAGAAATGGAGCCATTTATGGAGCAATTCATAAAAAAGATACACTCTGACATAAGAATGAATAAATAGAAGGATCAAGAAAATTTACCATTAAGGACTTCACCACCCTTAAAAACATACAAGCGCCATCTTATGTCGGGTTTTCTAGCATCTGGTGGCTCATTGAAGAGAAGTGTTATGCCTGGCATGGAACAGCATACAATGAGGAAAGGTAGATATAATACAGAGGCGTATTCTCTTTGTTAGTTAACAAACACGAAACCAAGATATGTTTTATGTCCTCTCATGCTCGAACATAGGGCAAAATATCCTATAGTACACAAGTTCTTCATTTTCTTCCCAACCGTTTCTCTTTAAAGACACCCATAGTGTATCTTAACAGTTAAGATCATGTTACCAGTAATATGATCAATCCAAACCTTATTAAGTTTTGAGGGGATCAAGCTTGCAAAGTTACACGGTGGTGAGGCCTAGAGCAACCTACGCTCGAAAGCCTCATGGGCTCACTTGATAGAGCTTCATACATACAGCAAAATATAGCTTTGAGTTTCATTAATTTGTTGGAAGCAAGGCATATACATCAAGATTATGCAAATTTAGTACCAAAACCCCACTTCAAAATCAATATGTATGGTCTTTCCATACCATGCAGCAAATGATTTTGTAGAATATAAATGAACTTTTCTTATGAAAAATGAATGGATTAATAACTTCCCTTTGGTTCAGAAAATATTCTCCAAAGCCATGAAGCCCATTAAGGTGGAGTGGTTTACCAGCAGCAATAATAGAATGATGAACTTGAAGATCTTTTTATGAGATAACAGAAATAAGCTCCATGGGCAGGTTACCCAAAAATCCACTGAAAGTTTGAATGTACTAACTCTCGGGAGAGAAATGCAATATAACTTGCAAAAGAAGTGACTGCAATAAGAATGTAAACTCATTCATCAACTTAAAGACTTGAGAACTTTAGTTACTAGCCATTACCTCTTACTCGATTAGTTTCTGCTGCAAGCTTTCCAGAGAGCTCAAACGAAGGTTTATCCTGTACATTATAGCACCAATAACTAATATTACTACAATCATCTAATAAAGCTACTAATCAGAAAGCAGTAAGATAAACATATCTGCAAAACAACAATCAGTTAAAGTGGGAATAAACATAGATCATTGTCACCCCGGCATCAGAAAGGACTCCCTTTTTCTTTGTAATTTAAAACAAAAATGAAGGAAACCGTGGGTCTAAATTAATGGAATGAAACTCAAGGTAATTTGGGAAGAAATAATACTTTATTTTTAGCTTCCAAGGCCTCCTCAGCTTCCTTCATTTTAGATAAGGAGTCATCTTCACCATTCCTGCACAAGCAAAATAATACTTACTAGCAATTCAAGCTTATATATTTCTCACAAAATTTTAAGTCTATATGCAAGCACATCAGGAAAACAAACCAGATGTTTACGAATTAGAAATCTTTGCACCAACTTAAAGAGAGATTCAATACTTTGGCAGTAAGCAGCAGCATCCATACAACAAAATTACTATATTGCCCCGCTAAGCACAGTACTTTAAGGCTTAAAGAAAATTCAGAATCAATATCTGTATGGGGACATAGAGTGAAGTAGTAAATTGAAAAGTCAAATGACTAATGAGATTATAGAGCTAAGTGCCTAGTATATGGTAACATAACTCATTACTACCTTCCAGCACCAGTACAACAGGAAACACAGGACCCTGAGATTTACTGCCCAAATTCCCATTGTTTAACAGACTAGTACAAATATTTAAACTCCTTTCAACTAAGATTCATGTAAGCTTTCTACAAAGGAAGCATTCCAGCACGTTTGGAATATTTGTTGCACCATTTACCAGGATTCAAAAGTTAAATTCATCAGATAATGTAAATTTAATACATGTAAATATGTAATTCAGTAATTGTGATGCTTAACCTTTTTTCTATTAAAACAAATATAATTGTGCTAACTCCTTGACTGCAAGTAAAATTATTCACAAGAGGGATTGGAGCAAGTCTAAGCCCATCTTGCTCAAACAAGCATGAGAAAAATGGTCATTTACTCCAGAATGTTCAGAGTTCATCAAAGCATGTGTGTGTCCCTTCCGATGACATCATCACAGCAAGAAAAGAAAAGTATGATCAGCTAAATCTACTAAATTACTACTCTGATCAAGAGATAAGGCAGCAACTCACCTGAGTTCATCTCTCGTTAAGTTTGTTACCTGCAAAACAGAAGCACCCAATAAGAACTCAACTTTAAAACTAAAGAGAAGTGTAAGCTATCCAATTACACGAATGCATCAATCAAATGATAAATCTCTCCTGTTGCATAGGGGGATCTTTCATGTGTAAGACCTAGATAAAGTCGTACAGAAATTAGGCATGGTGTGTTATTGCAATTCAAATCTACAAATATTTTCTGCTATTTTGTTCAGGTGGATAAGTACAGCAATTTTAGTTTTTTAAACATCTCATCCATTAGAATGTATTTGCCTGACCAACATATTAATAGGTCAAAACTATTTTAATTAGTGTTGCTCTATGCAAGGATTTCCATAAGAATCAACCAGAGAAATAAGCAAAATCACTATTTACATAGGTACTCAAAAAAGAAAAAAAAAGGAACCTAAATCATTGTTCAAGCGCAGCGGAAAACTCGAGAAGATTAAGTACAAGAGAAGATTAGATGGACATCAACCATATTTTCTTGCTTTAAATCTTTCATTATTACCCTGCTTTCCCAGTCTAAAACTGGAGATAACTAAAATGCAAGGAAAACTCAGTAGTGAATTTGTCAAAGGAGCATTATTAGTTTTAAGGTTAAGCATAAGCAAATGAAATGCAGACATCGTTTGTCGCATATGAATAAAGGTTACTTAATGTGATCGAATATCACCAGACACCTCAGAATGTGCTCTACTATCGGCTGCTACAGGTGATCTTGATCTGTGCCGACTTCTATGCTGACGTTCTGAAGGTGAAGCTGATCGACCATTTCTTGACTTATAAGATCCATTATCTTTTAAGTCCTTTCCCGATTTTCTCTCTCCTTTTTCGATTTGCATCACTCTATCAGAATCCTTATGTGCCGCCCTATCACTAGCTCTCCCATGGTTTTTTTCAGGCTCCCGCTCCCTCGATTTCTCTACAGCTTCTTGATCTGCTCTCCTTAGTCTCTTTGTTCGAGGTGAGGGTGAACGAGATTCAGGTAACATTCTGTCAGAATCCTTTTCCCTATGTGTAGCCCTATCACTAGCTCTCCCATGATTTTTTTCAGGCTCCCGCTCCCTTGGCTTTTCTTCAGCTTCTCGTTCTGCTCTTCTTAGTCTTTTTGTTCGTGGTGAGGGTGAGCGAGATTCAGGCAACATTCTGTCAGAATCCTTTTCCCTATGTGTAGCCCCTATCACTAGTCTCTCCCATGATTTTTTTCAGGCTCCCGCTCCCTTGGCTTTTCTTCAGCTTCTCGTTCTGCTCTTCTTAGTCTTTTTGTTCGTGGTGAGGGTGAGCGAGATTCAGGCAACATTCTGTCAGAATCCTTTTCCCTATGTGTAGCCCTATCATTAGATCTCCTGTGATTCTTCTCAGGATCCCGCTCACTCAATTTTTCTTCAGTCTCTCTTTCTGCTCTCCTCAGTCTTTTTGTTCGTGGTGAGGGTGAGCGCGGTTCAGGAGACTGCAACTTGGCACGCTTAGGAGACCTGGCTCTGCCTGAAGATTTCTCTCCCTGTAACAACTTCGAATTCGGAGACCTTGACTTAGCTCGTTTGGGGGACTTCATGCGACTTGAGGGTTTCTCTCTGACTGGGGAGTGAGATGCAGGGGAGATTGATTTTCTGCGCTTTGGGGATTTATTGCGACTAGAAGGCCTCTCTCGAGCAGGTGAAAGAGGAACAGGAGATCTTGACCTTGCACGTCTTGAAGGCTTCTCTGCTACAGCTGAACTTGCAGCATGTGAACTCCTTTTATGAGCAGGTGACCTTTCCCTGCGTGAAGGGCTCCTCCTGCGAGGAGATCCACGACCCCTGGCAGGTGATCTAGAGTCACTGCGCCCCATTATAGAGGTCGACTGGGCAGATGAATCTTCTGAGGCAAAAACTAAAAAATATATAGGATTAATACTCCAGAAACACTCATAAGCAAAATCAAATCAAAATTATTTGACAAGAAGTACAAAAATCATCACTCAATCCATTTCAAGTAATTAAACAACAAAAAGACTAATTCTTTAACAATACTTGAGTTTTTGAAAGAACTAACACACATGCACAAATTACATTTTGCACAATATGCTTTCATATCCTGAACAAATATAATACTCCCTTTGTTTTGATTTACATGACACTCTTCATACACTATGTAACTTCCACTACTTTTCAAGCTTCATTTTTTATATTTTGATGCCACTTCTTCCCTAACAAATTACATTACACCATTATTCTAATAAGTTCTTCTATAACCACTTGATAAAACAGTGACAACATTGTCAATGTAATCCAACAAATTGGATTTGAGGAGGATAGGATGTTGGCTTTGTTTGACTGTCCCTACATCAATATCATTTCTTATTGATTATATTTCGTTTTAAAATATTATTAGGGGGAGAGGATACTACATTGTTTTCCACCTTATGAGAAAGGTGAAATAATAGATACCTACTTCAAGATTATATATATTTTGTGATAACCATACTTCAAGATTATGTATGTACAAGAGAAAATTATAACAAATTTACATATTATTGAAGAAATTCAAATAGAATCATAATTTATAAGGAGAAAAGTAATAGACAATTTTTTTTATTCAAACTCAAATTACGTAACAATGCTTTAAAATTTAGGATTGCCAAATCTATTGTATATTTCCTAAAACTTTAGTCTAAAGGAGTTGTCATTGGCTTGAAGTGTGAAATATCCATGATTGTACTCCTTAACCTCAATAAAGCTAACAAAAACCAAAACAAAATCAAGCACAACCACTCCAAAATACTTCATAATCATCAAGAATTTGCATATCTGAAATAATCAATATTCTAACCTCAAGAAATGAAAAAAGTTTATAAAAAACATATCAATGCTTTACAATTTCAGCTCCATAAACTCACGAAAATAAAATAAAAATAAAGTACTTACTTCTCTTTGAAAATTTAAACCTCATATCACTAATGCAGGTGTGCGCAAGCCAATTTCTTTAAATTCACAATTTAATCAATTTTTTATGATAAATAATAATGTTAGAGTTTCTGAGCATAGAATGTACGTGCAGATTTTATCCCTTCCTTCTACGTAGATAGAGTTTGTTTCCAACAAAAACTCAACTCAAATGAGCTTAATCACTTGATAAAACAACAACAACAACATTGCCAGTGTATATGAAAACCAAATTGCAAACTGCATCGATTATGAAAACCGAAGTTAATAAAATTAAATCCTAAAAAGTAATTCATTAGCTAATTGCTTGTATGAAGATTGCATAAATGTATAGTTCATACGCATATAAGCATAAAGATGTGGAGTTTTACCTAACGCTGAAGAGGATTAGGGTTTGCCGCGCATTGGAAAGTTGGAAAAAAACAAACTCAGAAACCAGAAGGAGAAAACGATAGTGATGAATGAAAATCTCGGATCTTCGGGTTTTTGGGCTTTAGCTTAAAATGGGCTTCTGAGCCACTTTCTTCATGTAACATGTTGGGCTTTGAATATTATTCAAAAAAAAATTAGAAATTTATTTGGGAAAATTACGCGGATAAGCAAATATATATTAATTAATTAGCTAACATAATTATAGTTTGAATTAATTACGGCTCACATCTTAATTTTAGTTGTAATTACATGCGTCTCTCCCCTATTTTCCCCTCTCTCTCTCTCTCGCCTCTCTCTCCTCGGCTATACATATACAAATATGACAGGTATACAAATGAAATCACCTCTCTCCTCCCTCTCCCAATCTCTCTCGCCAGATTTATGAATACATATGTATATCAGTTACATATATACAATTATATGACATATATACATATACAACTTGCCTCTCTCCACTTTCTGCCCTCTCTCGCTTGCATATCTTCTCCTTCTAACATGTAGATACGAATCATCTTTAGCAAACTGTAGCTATTGAGCCTAATTAAAATTATTTTAGTGGTTGTTTGTGAAAGTTCCCCAATTTATTTTACTTTATTTTGAAGAGAGTTGTACATACATAATACATTGTAGAGCATCTTTTTTTCCCATCTCAAATCATCTCTAAACAATTTCAATTTTTTGGCATAAACTTCTCTTAATGTTTTGAGTCTTTTGACCAATTCATATTTGCGGCACGTCAATTTTTAAAGTTGAGTTTAAACATAGAAGAAGAACATGAAGAAAAGGAAGAGGAAAACAACGAAGAAATAAAGAAGAAGAGGAAGGAAGAGAAAAAGAAGTCATTAATGGTCGGAAGAAGAAAATGTTAATTGTCATTCGATTGCAATTAAAAAAAAATGTCAAATGGTCATTTTTAGTAAAAAATGGATTATTAAATTCTTAAGTGGATAGATTATATCGTTTATTGTCGGTACATAATCTCATACACCAATAATTTCAAGGATAAAACTAAAAAAAAAATGTAGAATACAACCTACACATATGACTACTATAAAAGATAAGTAAATGAAAAAATGAAAAGAAATAAAATATATCGTTTGATTGAGAATAAATTATTCTAAGATTAATTATTTCGAGATTAATTATTCTAAGATAGTTATTACACCATAAATATGGGATAAAAATAAGATTGCAATCTCAAAAATAACTAATCACAAGACAAATTATCTTGTGGTTTGGAATAAATCATTCTTAAATTAATTTTGATATTAATTATCTCTTATCCCATAGTCAAACTAGCATTAAATTTTTTCTAAATAAAACACATGTTTAAAATATTTCAAATTTTAACTTCAGAATCAAAATGAGCCACGTATTCACAAAATTCCATGGTCTCCTCCCCATCCACCACTATTTAAAAAACCAAAAAGTAGAATTCAACTTTATTCTCTTTTTTTTAAAAACTTTTCATCCAAACATGGCCTTCTCCTCCACCGTATCTCCGAAACATTGCCGCCTCTCTTCTGCCGCTTCCTCCTCCTCCCACTTTCCTAAATTCCAAATACCCCTCCAACTCAACAAAATTACACCTTGCCACTCTTCCTCCTCGAAGTTTCCTCCTTCCATTGTTTGTGTTCTTACAGAAAAACAATCAATGGCGGCTCAGGCGGTTGATGAACCGGCGGCTATTCAACGTCCCGATTCGTTCGGCCGATTTGGAAAATTTGGTGGAAAATACGTGCCTGAAACTCTAATGCACGCACTCGATGAGCTCGAGACAGCTTTCAAATCACTCGCTACCGATGAAGCTTTTCAGGTTCTCGGAAATAACTTTTTTTTTTAATTTGCATAAATTTTCAAATTGATGATTATGTAATAGTATTGAAATAGGTTCTAGAAGTTTTTTTTGTTTGTATTGATTTTTGTTGCATAAATTTACAAATTGGTGATTTATTTCATTTGCTTTAAAGGACAAATTGTTTAGTATTGGAATGAAATGGTTCAGAAAAGAGTGGAAATGTGGAATGGGTAAGTGTAGTTTAATATTGATTGGAGATATTTGATTTCATTTCCTTGGTTGTTATTATTGTAAATGTTATTATACTTAAATCCTGCATTCTATCAATGCATATGTTAGAGAAATTGAACAGGAGACGTCTGGTTGATTATGCAATGACTGGCAATAGTTTCAGGAATTAGTGTTTTGATATAAAAAAAAACTGATTTCAGGATTTAGTGCTGTATCATTATATCTCCCCCTTTTTCTAGATAGGGGATCTTTAACTAGCTTGGGATTGGGAGAGAGAAGGGGTATGCCACAAGCAGTATCTTTTGCAGTTTTGCAAAGAGTCTGCTTTCACATCTGGGATGGAGATCTATAGGTCAGCAAAAGAGCAACTTTACCATTGTGGCAAAGCTTGCCCTCACTATTGTTACTAAAATGAAAAGTAAGCTACATATAAGCTGTAAGGATTCTCTTAATGGTGTGAGTCCTTTTGGGAAAAACCACGCGGGCTTGACCCAATGCGGACAATATCATCACCATGTTAAGAGTATTTGTGGGCTTGTTTAGCCAACAACTATCCGGACCGATAACCGGGCCAATGGGTGCCCTATGTTCCTCTTGAACCGTTAGTTCATCGAGTCATCAACCTTGATTAACAAAGTAAGCCGGTAATGTAAAATATATGTGTCTTTTAACCTCTTGAATATATGGACCCATGTAAGGCTGAGTATTCAACTAGCAATTGCAATTTCCTTTCTTTAATAGTTTTGTTTCCCTGAACTGGTATTTTATGTGGTGAGCTCGAAACAGATGTTATTTTGCTATGACGAGAAAAGGTTCTCAAGCATAGTGTTTATCAAATTACAAGATGGGAAACCTGTGTTGGATTCTTAACACAGTTCAAGTCTTCTGAAAAAGCAATTTTAGTTATGACCTTTTCTTTTTGTTAACAACTCTCTTTTGTTCTTTTTTCAATCCCGTTCGTTGTGAAGGCTTGTGATGTCCCATATAAAATGTCTAATTCTTTGTACTGATTTATGTTGTCTGCACTCTGCAGAAAGAGCTAGATGGAATATTAAGAGATTATGTAGGCAGAGAGAGCCCTCTTTATTTTGCAGAGCGACTTACTGAGCACTACAAACGCCCAAATGGCGAAGGGCCACTGATCTACTTGAAAAGGGAGGATCTTAACCACACTGGTGCCCACAAAATTAATAATGCAGTTGCCCAAGCTTTGCTTGCTAAGCGCTTGGGCAAGAAACGCATCATTGCTGAGACAGGGGCAGGTCAGCATGGTGTTGCCACTGCTACTGTTTGTGCTCGTTTTGGTTTGGAATGCATTATCTATATGGGTGCCCAAGATATGGAGAGACAAGCACTAAACGTCTTCAGAATGCGGCTGCTTGGAGCTGAGGTTTGTTTCCTACATTATGAGTTATGTGTTTGTTCTTAGCTTGCTTAATAGAGAATTTGAGAAGTATGTGAATAATTTATGGGCCGACTTCACTGTTCCATGGTATTCACCAGTGTCATTTTGCTGTTTAAAATGTGTGATAAGTTCTATCTGCTCACTTAGATGCATTTTCTCTATACATACATATGTGTGTATCCCAAATTGGACGTCAACCTTTCTTTTTTAGTCTGTCCCACATCAATGTTCATTGTCCTCATAAAAAGTATTTTTCTAACATATTAAACTAATAAAAAAGAAGGAAAAAAAAAGCTAATAGGAATATTGCTTGCTCTTTCAAAGCTACTCTCTTATATTTTCTTAAAAAAGGAAGGGTCTGACATCTTCTCCCAATGAATCTAAAACAATTTGGTTTTACAACTCCTCTAATCAATAACCGCTTAAATTGAACTAGGAAATTCAATTTTGTTTGAAGGGAGTACATTTTTTGTTGCATTTGATGCTTGTTGAAGTTCTGATGTGGTAAATGCACTCCATAGTTTCAGTAACCAAAAGCTTAAGTTCCTAATACTGTAAACTGGAGAGTATACGATAAATCCCTAGTTTGATGTAGAGCATATCATGTGGATGGTATATCTGTATAGATAAGGATATGGAGGTCATTTTTAAAATCCACGAATGAGCCTAACAGATACAAATGCAAGGAAGAAATTTCTCTGGAAATTGCATCCTGCAACAGTTGTGGAATCCCAAGTGCATTAGCTGGGACGTATCTGAAGGACGTACATTTACATAGTATCAATAAAAATGCAAAGAAGTATTTTATTAGACGGTTACTTTTGGCTTCATTTTCTTCCTCTATGGTACCCGTCTAATTTCTAACTATGGCTTCTCTATTTAACAAGGATGATCAGAGTCTCAAAGAGTATCAGACCAGTTTTTATAATTTGATTAAAAAAATAGTATTGAACCATTTTTGCTCTCAAGTTGCCAGCATTTCTTGACTTCATTTTCCATAATTTTACAAGCAGGTTAGAGCAGTTCACTCTGGGACTGCTACACTCAAGGATGCCACTTCAGAGGCTATAAGGGATTGGGTTACAAATGTTGAGACAACTCATTACATACTTGGATCTGTTGCAGGCCCACATCCGTACCCCATGATGGTAAGAGACTTCCATGCGGTGATTGGCAAAGAAACAAGGAAGCAAGCATTAGAAAAATGGGGTGGGAAACCAGACGTGCTTGTTGCATGTATTGGTGGAGGCTCAAATGCTATGGGACTGTTCCATGAGTTTGTTGATGATGACAATGTTAGGTTGATTGGGGTAGAAGCTGCTGGTTTTGGTATAGATAGTGGAAAACATGCTGCAACTTTGACAAAGGGAGAGGTTGGAGTACTGCATGGAGCTATGAGCTATCTGCTGCAAGATGAAGACGGACAAATAGTTGAGCCCCATTCTATCAGCGCTGGGTAATAACTTCTTTTTTCGGTCATGGAAGTGCCTTATTTGTTAGAATCATAGAATGAAAGTTTTATCAGGTCATTCTATAGCAGATCTTTACATCTACTCACTGGTCCAAATTCATTTCTCTTTTCTTCTCCTCATGACTTGCCAGACTGGATTAC